TAAATGAAGCCCAAAAAAGCAATCCATATGGCACACAGGTAAATAAAGTCATTATATATTCGTTATTTCTAACTTCAGAAAGTATAATCAAGCCTAAACGAGTCTAGTTCAGGCGGAAGAGTGACCTCTGACACAACGTCTCATTTACTCCCATTATAAAGCTTGGAAGAGTCAGGATATTTTTAAAATAGCTTTGTGTTTGGCTGAAAGAAGAATGTCATATACACCTGTCCTGGGATGGCTTGAGTGTGAGTAAATTATTGGAATAATTTTAATTTTGGGGTGAACTAACACTTTAATGCTTATATTGATCAGCAAAGCAAGCAGGGTTAATCCAGGGTTAATCCAAATATCTTTAGATTTAGCACATTGATCTATAAACACTATCATACTCGGTTTCTGTGTGTCTTATTTTTCTCAATTCATAACAGAAGGAGGCACAGGAATCTGATCTTTGCCCCTCAAGCCCCAGTAACAGACAGTAACCTTACACTTTAACTAATGACACTGTTGTTGTCCATGCCTACAATCAACTGAAGAAAACAAACGTTGGGTAGATTTTGGAGTCACAAAGGGAAAGTAAAATCTTATTCTAATATGACAATGCAATACAAAACTAGTCAGAAACAAACCATGTCATATCACACAAGCCGTAACATTTTTTATGTTTACTCTCCTTTTTTAGCAAGTTTTTATTTCTCAAATTGCCTTAGCTCATTTATAATTTCAATAGTTTTGTGATATGGGTTGCATCAGAAATTTTATTCACCAGGATTAAAACGAATAGGCCAATTTTAGATAATAAGAAGTGAATGAAGATGACGTGGGCGGGGTAATCTCCATTTACAGACGTGATTCACTCAACTGAATACTTATCCAACAAACAAAAACCCATTAAGATAGTTTGATTACATCTGACTACCTAGAGCTGGTTTGGCGATGATTATTTTACTCTGTACAAATAACACAACAACATAAGTTTCAAATGTGATCGAGAGCGCGCACGTAACAGGTGTTCAGCTCAAAACAGATTCAACGGCATTTAAACGCGTTTGAACTAATTATACAGAGCAAGTGTCACATAAAATCATAAACCAATGTTGTTTTCTGCGTGAAAACTGATATAAACACCCGCTGGCGGTGCTTTGGCTCAGCGTTTAGGCTGATTTATTGATTTAATCCCTTTCCTCTGACCGGCTCGCGCTGCTACGGAGGTTAAAAAAAGTGTTATTTCATGACAAGTTTAACCAGCCAGCTTTAAACATAGAGGAGAGTTTGTACACTTGTTTGGAAGCGGGATAGTACTTTAGGACAAACTTTACACTATGTAAATAAACTCACCTTGGCTGGAACTCTGACAGACGTCGCTTCCATCCCGATCCGCCATTTCACCGACGTCACATGAGAGGATTAGGGAGCGCGCTTACAAAAGAGCCTACAAAAGCCTCTAGCGGACAGGTGCAGAATATAACAAATATCTAGACAGACAGACGGATCATTTTTCTATCAATCTTGTTCGTCTGCAAGAACTTTTTGCTAATGTACAATTTCATTCATTTTTTTATTTAGTTTTAATAAATTGTATTAAATACAATTATATATTTTTGGTTATTTGTTAAATGTTGCACGTATCTAATTTTAATTTTATTATTTTGTATTATGAGATTTTCATATTTCCTAATAATTATTCCATCGTCAATAGCCTGGATTTCCCCATACTGCCTTGCCGCAGCGCTTTTATTCACGAGACTTGGGTCTGAGGTAGCCAGGCTGGTTTATATCTATTTATTATAATTGGTATTTATTATAATTGTTATTTATTTATTTATTATAATATATTAAACATTTTTAATTAACACACTTAGCTATTGAAACATTTGAATATCTAAATATATCTCTTGAAACATTTGAATATATTAACTATTTCTAATTAGCACACTTAGCATGCACTTACGTGAATGCGTTGCCATCTATTGTACCTTTGTTATTTTGTTAGTAGGCCTAAATCAAATTCTGCTTTCCTTAGACAGCAAATGGTGACCTTTTGTGAAATATAAAAGTCTTTTTGCGCTCTTTAATTTGTAAATACTGCTTAACGGACATGGCCACATTTTATTTTAGGATTTTATTCTTGCATTCATTGCTCAATTCATTGAGCTTAATCGTAAAACTGGCCTTTTGAGTAGTTTACTGTAGCCTTGAATGACCTACATTTTTAATGTTACAAGTGTGTATGTGTTTTCCATGTAATATTATGATATATCCAGAAGGTGGCACCAATTTACTGCACATTTTCACAACTTCTGGGCCTCCATGATCTCATCATGACTGTTTGAATAACGGTTTCTGTGAGAGTTAGGTTTATAGGGTTAGGGTTTTTCCTAGTCGCTTTGGTGAATTTCTCAGATCATCCTTAAAATTATTTGCAAAGAAAAGTATTTATGTCAATGAACATATCAGTGTCATCAGAATGAAAAGTCCTTGTGTCTTTGTTCACAGACAAGTAAAAATGCTTAGTCATGTTGTCAATAAACACTGCACTCTGTTAGTATGACCTGATGTAAACTATAGGCAACAATTTATATGACAGTGGACAACCATTTCAAAAGTACAAATTTACACACTACTGTACGTGAGTTATTGATTGAAAGAGACTAGGATTCACAGTTAAACCTATAATGGTCTGACCAAAAAAAAAAAGAACAACATTACAACAACGCGCAGTCATTTCAACATCCTCATTCTCATATTTAAGCATCTGTAATATTTTATGCTACTGCCCACTGACATGCTTTTAAAGCCATTGTTATACCATTTTTATGACCTTCAAATCCAAATGTTCTCAGGGGGATGCCCCCGAACCCCCCTAACTGCCTCACCTTTGCATGTGTGTGACTGTGTGGTAATGTGGGCTGGTGTGGTTATAGTGCCAAGGATGTTTTTTTCTTAACCAGTCTGTCCCCACATATAGGCCTGCAATATACATTATTCTCTGTTTCGAATCATGTTATCTTATTACCCACCCCAGCCCCTGATGTTTCGGGTTCAGCCCCGGATGATTTTAAAGCCTAGAAATGTCCCTGTTGAACAGTTTGTACTGAAACTGTTTTTTGGACCTTGAACCGTTTGGTTCCCAATGAAGTCCATTATATGGAGAAAAATCCTGGAATGTTTTCATCAAAAACCTTAATTTCTTTTCGACTGAAGAAAGAATCATCTCTTGGATGACATGGGGGTGAGTAAATTATCAGCAAAAGTTTAGATGTTTTTGAGGGGTGAGAGGGGTGAACTATTTAATACATTTGAGCAATGTGGCAATGTAGGAAACCGCAGACAATTGTACATAATCATTTGCAGGAATGTATCAAAGCAAACCCAACTTGTTCAAAAGAATGAGAAACTGCTTTTTTTAATGTGCACAAGTGACTAGATGATGTAAGTCAATGACTGCAAAGTGCACCAATGGTGTGTGTGTGTGTGTGTGTGTGTGTGTGTGTGTGTTTTGCTCTGAGCCAGTTGTTATTTTTGGCCATGACATCATTTGACATGATCACTCTCTATTACAAACAAACAAATGCATAAAAATATCAGAAAAAAAATTCTTTTAAGAATTGTTCTGATCAGCTTAATGCAGAACGTACAAAAACAGATCTATAAGCCGTGTATTTTTGGATTGGATGATATAATATTGAATATCCATTCCCCACATAACCTTTAATCCACATACACACACACACACCATGCATTTTGTCTAGCAATCCATCATCCCGACTGCTCACACACACATCATGCATCCCACTTGGTTATTAAGCATTATAAAGTAGATAAATGAGAACATGGTGGTACTAAATCTCTCCCTCAGTCTCTCTTGGGATTGGGCCATCTCATTAGTGCGAGTTTCATTACGTTACGTAAACCCTGATCACTTTCTCTCCTCACTGCGCTCTCTATCCCACCTCAGCTCCCATCTAACACAAGTAACATCTGGATCAACATAAAAGACAATTAACAGGCAACCATTTCTCTGAGTTAGGTGATGATATGCATTTGATTGATGTCAAACAGGACCAGTTTAGCAAGAATCCTGTGTGTGACATGTTTTCCTTTGTTTTACTTACACTCCACCTGTGTATTGTTTTCTACAGTATCATTTTAGTGTTTCTGTATTTAAGTACAATGGCCTCCATATATGTATCATTATGAAGCAAAATATCAAACCAGTATCAAACTTTTTTAAAGAATGAGTGTCAATGCAATTTCCATCCAAAAAGATCCTGTGTATTGCATATTACATTTTATATTACACTGTTTACTGTTTTGTATTCTGTATTGCTTTATTATGTATTGCATTGTATATAGATAGTATACATATCTATATAGATCAGATAGATAGATAGATAGATAGATAGATAGATAGATAGATAGATAGATAGATAGATAGATAGATAGATAGATAGATAGATAGATAGATAGATAGAGGCAGACAGATAGACACACAGACAAACAGATAGATAGATAGATAGATAGATAGATAGATAGATAGATAGATAGATAGATAGATAGATAGATAGATAGATAGATAGATAGATAGATAGATAGATAGATAGATAGATAGATAGAGGCAGACAGATAGAGGCAGACAGATATAGACACACAGATAGATAGATAGATAGATAGATAGATAGATAGATAGATAGATAGATAGATAGATAGATAGATAGATAGATAGATAGATAGATAGATAGATAGATAGATAGATAGATAGATAGATAGATAGATAGACGCACAGCCTCCTAGGCTACATACATTACATACATGGTAGCCTCGATGAATATGCTAATAATTTAATACCATGGTAGCTGTCAAACCATCCATCTGATTCTGTCCAACCAGCGCACAGGGGTTCCCGTTTCACCAATAATGTGCGCGCTCTGGCACTGACAGCGTTAACGGGAACGCGCACATTGGCTTGTAATTCCCCTCCCACGCGCCGGGCGTCCTTTAAATGCTCGCGCTGCGCTTTAAATAGCAGGTGTGAGAAACTGTGTCCTGCAACATACACCACCATCATCATCCTCATCATCGCCACCATCACCGACGCAATGTCCACCGCCAGCGCCGAGACGAGCGCACAGCTTCCCCCGGCCGCGGCCAGGGTGTTCTTCCAGCCCGGCGTGCCTGGAGTGGGTTGCGCCGGTTCCGGACCGATGCAACGCGATGACCCGGTGCAGAAAAAGCAGGGCAAAGTGACGGTGAAGTACGACAGAAAGGAGCTGAGGAAGAGACTCATCCTGGAGGAATGGATCATTGAACAGCTGAGCGAACTTTACGACTGTGAGGTGAGACTGCACCAGAACCGGAACTTCAGAAAAAGAGCTCGACTTTAATTTCGATAAATTCTAATTTTCAATAATTAGACTTATTTAAAAACATTTTTGCTTAGTTTATTGTGAAAATAGTTAAATTTTTATCATTAGAATTATTTTATTTTTAGTATTTATTTTTATTATTTGTTTCTAAAAAATTATACGTTATAATTCAGATTGTAATAGTAAATTAAATAAATTTAGCCTAAATAGCAACAAATTAATTTGATTATTGAATATTATAATTTTTTTATTTTGATTAGCATTTGCAAAGCATTTTACAGTACAGTCAAGTCTTTTTACAGTTCTTTTTTTTACTGTATTTTATAATAATTTACATTTTGACACTTTTTGTGTGAATCTTTTAGAAACACAACAGCACTATAGATATTTATAACAACATAATTTCATTTATCAGCTAGGCAAAATGATTGGTTATTTTCAGCTTTTGTTGTACAGTATTACTGGTTCAGTCCTCTTGGAGTAACTTGAGGTTAAATGCCTTGATCAAGTGGCGATGATCTGTGAATCTGCTTTTCGTGGGGTTCTAACCTGAAAGGTCACAAAAGCAAGATTTTTAATCTCAAAGCTCCAGTTCACCACCCCCATGGGTTTATAGGTTGATACATTGTGTTTGTCTTTGTGTGACCTACATTTGTCTTCTTTAAAGAAGCAATGTAATGCATGGAACTATACAGCAAGGAATCTTTAAAGTGTGGAATCCTTTAGCATCGGTCCTCATTTCAAGATGACAAAATGTCTTTCTGCTGACCTCTGTGAGGTGTCTTATTGCTCTGATCCACTTTTGTTCTCTCTATCTGTCTCCCTCTGTGTTTCTGTTCTGCGGCAGCTTGCTTTTTTTCTGCTGATGCTGTGTTGCCCTTAGAGAGACAAGAAAGAGAGAAACAGTTTGACTTGTGAGGCAGAATAATGATTAATCACATCTAACATAAAAGTTTGTTTATAGATAGATAGATGTGTGTGTGTGTGTATATATATATATATATATATATATATATATATTGATTTGACAGCACTAGTTAAAATTAAATAATACATCCGTTTAACATGTTCAGAGGTATTCATTGGTTTCATTCAAAAATGTGTTGCTCTTAACAGGATTCAAAAATAGTGTCAAATACTTCTTATATTTGAATGGAAATGTTTTAGTTTAAAAACCCTTACATTTCTGTATTTATTGGGTTTAGTGTCTATTTTATCGTTTCATAGTGAGTTATTGGGTCTGGGGAAGTTGGTTTAAGGGTTTGTAGGGTTAATGTAATGCTGTGGTGTTGTTGTTTTTTTTTTTGCATGTATCTTCAAAGCAAGCATATGTGCATATGGTAAATGAACCTTAAACATAGTCTCTCTAGACTTTACACACAATCCCAGCAGCATCTTGTGGGTCTTTAGAGTCGAACCTCTTATGGCAGCAGTGAGTTACATTTGTGGCAAAAAAAGCATTTTATTTGTGGTGTTGATTATAACATCAAATAGGATGCTGTTTACAATATAAGGCATCTAATTAGGTTAAGCATGCGAGCTAATCAAGATGTGTTTACTCAGGTGTACTTTAATGACCTGTCACATTTACACTATAAACAAGAGAAGGAAGTCACACATAGCCAATAAACGTTCACAGCTAAAGTCTGGACACCCATTAATAGCAAGTTGAAATGACAGGCAAAAGATTTCATGTAAACGAAAGCGTTCTGATTTAGACTATAGCGCATGCCAGCTGCACTAATAAACACTGTGAGAAATAATCTTCAGCAGTGTATTTATTATTACTGTATTAAAAGAGTAAGAATGAGATTGTTGCATTTGTAATATGGTAGTGTTTGGGTTAAAGTCATTATGAAATCAAAATTGACAATTCTTATTGTTTTTAATGAAATATTGCGGTATTTATTATAAATTATTTATCAGTGCACATCATTTTTTTTAACGCCCTTGTAATCTTTAATCAAAATAATTTTGTTTGCGAAGCCATTTCACTCGGATATCCATCACGACTTCCATTTCATGTCAACTTCATGTATGTTAGCTCTTATGCAGCTCTCATTATCATCTTTTCCGGGCACTCTTTTAATTGGCTGAGCAAAAATGACCAAAGCCATTTTGATATTCACTAGCAGCAAGCTTTCTTGTTTGATATTATTTAAATGTATATGTCTCTCACACACAGCTAAAGGAGTTAAGGGAACGTGTTTGGCAGGTTTAGCTGATTGGATTTTCATGCAACTCACTAACAACAACATCTCCATTGTGCAATATGGCCGTTAGGGTTAGTGTAAGGTGATGACACCTCATAGACCTACTTAAGGAAGAGTAGGTCAGCATGGGATTACTTGTGGACAGTGAAGGTTTTCTATATCTAGAAATGTTTGATAGAAATCAGCCCAAACCCTGAGGCCTAAAACTGATCCTCTAGTACATGAATGCACATGCTTTTTGCAATGCAGACTTGATTGCATGCTTTGCTGCATTCCCAAATGTGGCGAAATACAATTAATGATGCAATGCACAATCACCTAAAGGATTATTAGGAACACCATACTAATACTGTGTTTGACCCCCTTTTACCTTCAGAACTGCCTTAATTCTACGTGGCATTGATTCAACAAGGTGCTGAAAGCATTCTTTAGAAATGTTGGCCCATATTGATAGGATAGCATCTTGCAGTTGATGGAGATTTGTGGGATGCACATCCAGGGCACGAAGCTCCCGTTCCACCACATCCCAAAGATGCTCTATTGGGTTGAGATCTGGTGACTGTGGCGGCCATTTTAGTACAGTCAACTCATTCTCATGTTCAAGAAACCAATTTGAAATGATTCCAGCTTTGTGACATGGTGCATTATCCTGCTGGAAGTAGCCATCAGAGGATGGGCACATGGTGGCCATGTTCTTATTCTGTTTACGCCAAATTCTGAATGTCTCAACAGAAATCGAGACTCATCAGACCAGGCAACATTTTTCCAGTCTTCAGTTGTCCAATTTTGGTGAGCTCTTGCAAATTGTCGCCTCTTTTTCCTATTTGTAGTGGAGATGAGTGGTACCCGGTGGGGTCTTCTGCTGTTGTAGCCCATCCGCCTCAAGGTTGTGCGTGTTCACAAATGCTTTGCTGCATACCTCGGTTGTAACGAGTGGTTATTTCAGTCAAAGTTGCTCTTCTATCAGCTTGACTCAGTCGGCCCATTCTCCTCTGACCTCTAGCATCAACAAGGCATTTTGGCCCACAGGACTGCCGCATACTGGATGTTTTTCCCTTTTCACACCATTCTTTTTAAACCCTAGAAATGGTTGTGTGTGAAAATCCCAGTAACTGAGCAGAACGTTATCAGGATTTTTGGAGGTTAATTTCTGTGACTTCTGGGAGAAGAGGATTGGGTAAAAGGAATTAGAGCAGAAATTAAAACGGAAGATGAGAGGAAAGTAATGGAAAAGCAGTAAGGAAGAACATAACATAATTCAAATTGGATATGTTTAGTGGACGGAAAAACAAAGGAAAATAAGGCAATTTTGGACTTGGACTTGAATCAATTTCATGCCTCGAGTAAAACAGCATGTCATCTCATGCACACACTAACCCTCTGAGGAACACTAAAAGTGTGTGTTCATTTCTACAGCATGATCGCTGCATCCTCAGCCCTTCACATGTGCTTGCAAAGAACAAATGTAGGACGTTTCTCGTTGCAATTTGCATGTACATGTGTATCAGAGCTCTTTGATGGGCTTTGCCTTGGTGAAACGGGTCCATCTGGAGTTCATTAGCGTATTGAACACCAAGATGAGGTGGTATACGTGCAAGCTAATGATGGAGTCCTCTGTCTAACCGAGTCCTCAAATCAATGACGGTCACAAACTGCTGCCCAAGCTGTTTTCTGCTGAGGATTCTGTCTATTTCAGGCACAGCGCAGCGGTTTGCAAGCATGCAGATTCTCTCTGTGTGAGAATCAAGGATGAATAGTGCTGTGATAGGATGTGAGAGCTAATTCAGTAACACTGCTGTACTAAACACTAAGATTAGTGCTCAATGAAAATGCGTTTTTAGGTTTTATGGCTGATTTAGAACGATAACTATAAAGATGTCGCTTTAAAAAAAGCTTTTTGTGAGTCCATACCACAAATAATATAACGGGCCTGACCTATAAATTATAGTGTTGGAATCACTTTCACAATGAATCACATTATAATGGAGGGAAAAATTATCCCATAACATTTTATTATTCAAATTTTTGTGCAGACCATGTTGCATTCTGTAACAAAATGCATTGTACATTTTGAATCATGATAAAAGCTCAATTTAAGCAGAATTTGATTTTTTTTTTCTTGCGTAATGGCACTAAATAGGGCAATCTATCAAATATTGTGACTAAATTCAGTCTCCTGTTAATTATATCAGTACTGAGTCAGATATTTTTTGAGAATGGCTGCACTCTCTGTACTGAGACACACCACGGCATAAGAAGAAGCGAGATGTTTCCTCTACGTTCAGCCCAGTGGGGTTCTGCTAATATGCCCGTCTGCAAAAGATACCCACAACCCCCCTCTCCGCTGTCTTTCTCTTCAGCGAGGGGGAAGGGGTTCGTTTTTGATGCTCAACGCTTCAGGGCTCTGTCTCTGTCTGATATCATGGCCACATTTCACTTCGACTGTGTGTATTGATTCAGCGTGTTTGTGTTTTGTATTAGAGACGATCTTGTCTGCATCTGTTTGTTTATATTGTATTTTTATCTCCATCTGACCTTGTAGCGGAAGCATCGTACCTTTTTTGAAACCAAATCGTTTTAAATGCAAATTGGTAAATAGTTTTTTGTAATGTTGAGCATTAAAGGGATAGTTCACTTTAAAATTATTTTTTGATATGTTTTAGTTTACCTCAAGGGAATCCAAGATGCAGGTGTCTTTGTTTCCACAATATTTTCAATTTTTGATATGTCTGTCTGTCACTCATATAATGGAGGTCTATGGTCACCACCTCAAAGAGCATGCACAGAGACACGAAACGAGCGACAAAGCGCCCGCACCCTCAGATCACTTGGACGTGGCTGTGGTTACAAGAGGTAAAAACGATATAAATACTGTTCGTTTTCTCACACAAACCGCTTGTTTAGTGTATTAGGCCATCGATGTGTACTTGCATTTATGAGTCATTAAATCATGTTTAATTTGGATTTTTCTGTGCATGCTCTTTGAGGTGGTGACCATAGACCTCCATTATATGACTGACAGACACGAATGGTTTGACCTAAAAATATCAAAATTGAAAATAAACTTAGCAAAATTAACTAAACTTGCATCATGCATTTTAATCAATAAGTCAAAAGCTTGGAATAATTGAAAAACTTGCTGTAAAAACTGTAATATAGTGGAATATTATTAACGATTTAAAAACATTTTGAATGTATTTTAAAATGTAACCTTTTTTAATGTGTTCAAAGCTGAATTTTCAGCATTATTACTCCAGTCTTCAGAGTCACATGATCCATGATCCACATGATCATTATTCCAAGCATTTGGCTTATTGATTAAAATGCATATGGTGTAAGTTTAGTTAATTTTGCTAAGTTTATTCAAAACCTACATAGGTCAAAGTTTGAACTCGGGTCCCTTTACTAATCAACTGTATATAGAGAGAACATATTTTATTTGTATATAAATAAATTTATTTTTTTTGTGTGTCTTCAGTCATGTTTTTTTCTTACAAGTGACACTAATAAAACCACAAATGCAGCTGATGCTCCATCAAAAAACGGGTTCATGTCACTCCTGCCTTGTAGAGAGCAATTATGTAATTTTTATTCCACCAACTGTAAATCATCGGTGACACGCAGAATATGCATGCGCATGGTATTTTATGAGCACATATGTGTGCATTACAGTACAATCTGCTTGTTTATGTTGCTATGCAAATGGTGTTATGTGTGTGGGTGGGAGTTTGTGTGTGATTTCTGAGCGTTGCTGCCGGCGTTTCTGTGTACATTTCGCACTTTAACGCCTGTTTGAAATCCTCAGTGGTCTGACCTGTCTGCTCTGAGAGGGAGAGAGATTGCGTCCCTCTGCTTTGTGTTTGCAGATGAGACGCCAGTCGACTGCGCTTTCCGGCACCGTGAACAAGTAGGCCGAGTGAAGGTGTCTGTGCCGGTTCTGCAGCTCATTCTGCTCTCTGGCCTGACCGCACACACTCTCAGTACCCACAATCCACCTGCAGGGCTTTTCATTCACAATACACATACATTATATGCAAGTACATTTGCCTAGCATGGATAATGAAAAATGCTGATGATCTGTGTCAGGTTATCTTGATTGATGTCAGATCAGTCTGTGATTGATTGGCCATGTCTTGGCGGCTAGCTTGACTGATCAGCTTTATCTGATTTAAGTCTTTGTGGCTGGCATTAGTCTTTTTTTTTTTGGCATTTTCCCGACTAGGACACTCGGAATGAACACACACACAAAAAAAGGTCTAAAATAATAGTCCTTGTAATGGTGAATGTGTAAACACACGTACTGTAAACTAAGATAATTTGATAATTTTGAGATTACTTTAGAAACTCTAGAGGGGGATTTTTTTTTTTAAAATATTATCTCACTTGTAATGAAATCTCACTTTTAAATGCACAAACAATTCTAAATGCGTCATTGTTAGATTTTGTTTTCCTCACAGTATGAGTGAATTTTCTTTTCAACCGCTAACGCTTAAACACACACACAGAGAGAGAGAGAGAGTCATCCTTATTAACTCTACAGCACTAATCATTTTGACCTGCTTCTCGCCAAATCAGTTTCTCTCTACTATTCAGTCACGGACCACTTTATTAGGTACATCTTGCTAGCATCGTATTTCCCTCAGACCTGCCTCAATTCTTCTTGGCACAGATTCAACAAGGCGCTGGAAACATTCCTATGAGAATATCAATAATGCAAATCTCTCGTAACTCCTTCACATCCCAAATCTGCTCTATTGGATTGAGATCTGGAGACTGGAGGCCGTTTGAGTTTCGTGAACTCACTACCATGGTCGAGACAATAGTTTGAGATGATTTTAGCTTTAAGATATGGTGTGTTATCCTGCTGGGAGTATCCATCAGAAGATGATGCACTGTGATCATAAACATGATCAGTGGAGTTTAATCGATGACCAGTTGGTACTAAGAGACCCAAAGTGTGCAAGAAAATATCCCACCATCATTACACCACCAGCAGATGATACAAGGCAGGATGGATTCATGCTTTCATGTTGGTTACACCGACCATCTGAACCCTGAAGCAGAAATTGAGACTCGTCAGACCAGGCAACGTTCTTCCAATCTTCTATTGTCCAGTTTTGTTGAGCCGGCTGAATTATAGCCTCAGTTTCTGTTCTCATCTGACAGGAGTTTCACCGGTGTGTTGCTGGAGCTCTTCTGCTTCAAGGTTTGGTGTGTTGTGTGTTCAGAGATGCTCTTCTGCTTCAAGGTTTGGTGTGTTGTGTGTTCAGAGATGATCTTGTGCTTCAAGGTTTGGTGTGTTGTGTGTTCAGAGATGCTCTTCTGCTTCAAGGTTTGGTGTGTCGTGTGTTCAGAGATGATCTTGTGCTTCAAGGTTTGGTGTGTTGTGTGTTCAGAGATGATCTTCTGCTTCAAGGTTTGGTGTGTTGCGTGTTCAGAGATGCTCTTCTGCTTCAAGGTTTGGTGTGTTGTGTGTTCAGAGATGATCTTCTGCTTCAAGGTTTGGTGTGTTGCGTGTTCAGAGATGCTCTTCTGCTTCAAGGTTTGGTGTGTCGTGTGTTCAGAGATGCTCTTCTGCTTCAAGGTTTGGTGTGTTGTGTGTTCAGAGATGCTCTTCTGCTTCAAGGTTTGGTGTGTTGTGTGTTCAGAGATGCTCTTGTGCTTCAAGGTTTGGTGTGTTGTGTGTTCAGAGATGCTCTTCTGCTTCAAGGTTTGGTGTGTGTTCAGAGATGCTCTTCTGCTTCAAGGTTTGGTGTGTTGTGTGTTCAGAGATGCTCTTGTGCTTCAAGGTTTGGTGTGTCGTGTGTTCAGAGATGCTCTTCTGCTTCAAGGTTTGGTGTGTTGTGTGTTCAGAGATGATCTTCTGCTTCAAGGTTTGGTGTGTTGTGTGTTCAGAGATGCTCTTCTGCTTCAAGGTTTGGTGTGTTGTGTGTTCAGAGATGCTCTTGTGCTTCAAGGTTTGGTGTGTCGTGTGTTCAGAGATGCTCTTGTGCTTCAAGGTTTGGTGTGTTGTGTGTTCAGAGATGCTCTTCTGCTTCAAGGTTTGGTGTGTTGTGTGTTCAGAGATGATCTTCTGCTTCAAGGTTTGGTGTGTTGTGTGTTCAGAGATGATCTTCTGCTTCAAGGTTTGGTGTGTTGTGTGTTCAGAGATGCTCTTCTGCTTCAAGGTTTGGTGTGTCGTGTGTTCAGAGATGCTCTTCTACTTCAAGGTTTGGTGTGTCGTGTGTTCAGAGATGCTCTTCTACTTCAAGGTTTGGTGTGTCGTGTGTTCAGAGATGCTCTTCTGCTTCAAGGTTTGGTGTGTTGTGTGTTCAGAGATGCTCTTCTGCAGCTCATTTGTAATGAACCTTATTTGAGTTACTTTTGCCTTTCTATCAGCTGAACCAGTATGATCATTCTCCTCTGACCTCTAAAATACTCAGACCAGCCCGTCTGGCACCAACAACCATGCCACATTCAAAGTCACTTAAACCAACTTTATTACTCATTCTGATGTTCAGCTTGAACTTCAGCAGATCGTCTTGATCATGTCTACATTCCTAAATGCATTCACTGCCATGTGTTTGGCTGATATAAGATATTTGTGCTAACGTTTTTTTAAATTTATAATTTTTGTAAAATAATGCATTGGTGTAATGCTTTTTTTTAATTGAAAATAAATCAATGTACTACCGTATATGAAAACTTGGAACAAAATCCTACATCATGCGAAAAACCATTCATGCACATTTGATGAAGTAGAGTAAATCTGGGCAGTAAATCCTGGATTTGTCCTTGGATCTGTCTAGCAAATGCAGAATTGGCTGTAACACAGGCAAACTGGCACTCGCAGACAGAAATGACAAATGTGCTTTCATATTGATGGTGTGTATTATTCTATCTCTCTCATTTGCCAAACGAGCCAAAGCGATTACCCCATGGAAAATAGTCCCCTCTCTTGCTCTCACCTTTAAACAGGGGGGTTTATTTATAGACCTCATCTCATCGTGCCTCTGTCATCACAGTGGCACAGCCTTCAGATTAACCTCAGCTTGTGACTGGAGTGTTTCCTGATGTTCATCAGGGCTATTTGGGAAGCGAGAACATCACAATTCCTTGACTGCAGATTTGATCTAGACCACATTTATCTAATCTGTAAGAATTTAGGCTACTTGGTGGTTTCAGATGTTTCAAAAGAGATCTCATTTGTGAATAAATGTTTTTTATGTGCTTCCACTCACCTACTATGTGTGATCTCTGTTTGTACAGGAAGAGGAAATGCCAGAGGTGGAGATTGACATTGACGATCTCCTAGAGGTGAACAGTGAAGATGAGAGAGCTGTAAAACTACAGGTAAACTCCTATGTGTGCATGTGTTTAACAATGCATTTTCCTATTCGGGTACTTTTACATGACAATGATGTACTACAAACGGAAACTTTTGTTCCTTTTGCATTTTTCGTGTTCAGACGACAACATTGTCAAAATGATCCCTGTTCATACGGATCTTCGAAAATGCTGAATTACGATGTCACTTTAAATCTAGTTTTCAAAAGTTGGCGATATCAGGCACCCAAAACGGTGTTGTTGTGTTACTGAAAGGTCAAAATGCATAAGTTTTCCGATTTTGGTTGTAAAAGGTGTCGTGTAAACAGCCCCTTAAACACTGAATTTAGAGTTTAATGCCAAAACATTGTACATGAATGCAAACACTTTTAGCTATGCTTGGTTTCATGATTTTCTGAACTCGATCAGAATGCAATTTATAATGTTTTGTTCAATTTACATTCTCAGCACTGCTGAAAGTGGCATTAAGAGAATATAATCAAGAGTAATTAGTTCTCGAGGCTGTATTATGCCCATTTACAAAGTCTTGATTTTGTTTTTGGGCTCTACTAGCATAGGTTTCAAAAATGTGTGTTTGTGTTTATATATATATTATTATTATTATTATTATTATATATTTTGTGTGTATATATTATACTGACATAGAGAATAACTCCCACTGGAGTGACTTTGTGCTTTAAAGACCTTTTTCATGCTCAAACAGCAACATTACACACTAAACAATGTCCTCTTTAAAAGTAGTTTTCTATACTATCTTAATAATAACATCTGCTTTATCGAGAGAGACATTCAAAAAAATTCTAGCACCTCTTTGAGGGTTTTTACTGCCACAGTAACACAAAAACACTATCTGCCCAAGCCAAAAATTCACGTTGTGTACGCAATTGTATGTAGATGTTTAGGTGTCTGAAGTTTTTTTGTGTGTGTGTCTCAGTCGGATGACATCTTTCTTTTTATTTCTCCCTCAGGAATCACTGACAGACTGCTTTAAGCCCACTGATGTAAGTCATAACATAAAATATAGGCCACCAACCTACGGCTCTGTTCCAAAACATAGTAAGCTGCCTACGTAGACGGCATTTGTAAGGCATCATAGGTGCACTCTCAAAGCAAAGCATTTATATATATTTCAGATGATACAGTATATATATATATATATATATATATATATATGAAGAGTTCAGATGCAAAAGCCTCTAAATGCCATTTGAAATTTTCTTCTTTAATGATGATTTTTATCAAGCTTGTATATTTAAGTTCAGTAATTTTACTTAAATGGCAATGATAATTACCTATTAATTGTTATTTAAGTGAAATTACTGAACTTAAATATACAAGTTTTATAAAAATCATCATTAAAGAAGAAAATTTCAAATGGCATTTAGAGGCTTTTGCATCTGAACTCTTCATATATATATATATATATATATATATATATACAATGCTGCCTTTTTTGGACAAAAATTAAATCAGTAACTTCTAAGGCGGCATCTCAATCAAAATGCTACCTTAAAAGGCTGCTGTCTATGTATATAGTCAATAAGTGTTTGAAACCGTGCCACAAATCTACACAAACTGAGACTTGCTAACATCTGTATGTTGTCTTTTAATTCGTGCTGTACCAGTCACTACACACACACACAGCTTTAGGACATGCTAGTGGATTTCATATGAGTGTGCACTGACCTAAAAACATCCAACATTATGAAAATCTCAATGCATAGGACAGCAGACATAATAACCCACTGACCCACACACACACACACATGCTTTTAATCCAATATCCAACACCAATGTTTACACCCTGTGTGTGGGTGCGAGCATGCTATATAAAATTTAAAAAAAAAAGTAATATAAATGTAAAATTACACACAGAAGTGTCCTCATGCCATGGGTGTTTATATTAGATTAAAAGCATCTGTACACACACTCTTACAATCCTCCCTTATCTAATCACAGATGCTTGTTTGAGTGTGTATATTGTGCATCAAAACCAAGCACAGAGTTTGTGAATCAAAGATGTACACAGTGAATGAATGATGCGGAAACATGAGTAGACGAGACTTCCTACATACACTCTCTCTGTCGTTCTCTCTACTCAAGGTCTTTGTGCGTGAGCTCCTCGGCAGGATAAGAGGAATGAGAAAACTCAGCGCTCCGCAAAAGAAAAGCTTTTAAGTGCTCAAATGCCAACGACAATCCGGCTACCTGGACTACAGGTCCCACAATCCATCACTCAGTCTAGAGTCAACATAAAGCCCTCAAGGACTCCGTATCCCAGGATTCCTTCTGGCCCAGAATCAATATACCAGAGTTCATTTTCCAAGGACCCATATCCCAAAAAAAGCAACTTTGTTTAGACCACCTTCATTTCACATACATCACACAATCAATCCAAGAGTGCAACGTTCATCCGGGACGCAATCTCAAAACAATCTCAGCAGCCGGTCGGGACAACCTGCCGTCAATCTCTCAAACGGTCTCACAGGCCTAATATTACACTTTTTGGTGCAGTATTACAGCTGTGTGTGTGAAACCACAACTGACTACGCTATTTCATATAGCCTATCAATTATATTTTATATTGTTTTTATTTTAAGCAAGTTGTTTAAGTCACAACCATTTTTTTTCTTTCTTAATTAACAGTTTTTAACACCAGTTGGCCTTATGCTGATCTCAGAATTTTTTTTTTGGTTTTGTCCAATCGCTATATATCCAATATTCACCAATATCTGGTCAGTTAAATTGACTTTCATAATTTTACAGTCTAAACATTCTTAAGTCATTTTGCTTCTCAAGTAAATTATCTTGATTTAAGATATTAAGTCTTGTATTCTGATCAAAATCATGTGAGTTTATACTTAAAACAAGAAAAAAAATCATAATTCAAAGGGAAAACAAGATTTTTTTGTGACCCCATTCACTCTAAACAATGCTTGGTTCTTTTAACCCAAATCAAATGTGGGGTAAAAATGTAATTTCAAATTATAACCCAACTTCAACTTTCAACTGTAAATGTTTGAATTGAATTTTTAACCCAACAATTGGGTTTGTCCATATTTGACCCAAATTTGGGTTGAAACGATCCAGCATTTTTTAGAGTGTTGGAAGATATTTCTTGTTTTTTTAAGCATCACATTGCTCCTCAAGAAAATGTATCTTGATTTAAGTATGTTTAGATATTGTACTGGAAAACAAGACTAAAATCATCTTCTTTTTTTGCAGTGATCTAATTATACAGTCTAAAAAAATGCTGGGTTAAATATGGACAAACCCAAATGTTGGGTTAAAAATGGAATTTAAAAAAAATACAGTTGAAAGTGAAAGTTGAAGTTGGGTTAAAATGGTAAATTAATTGTAATTAAGTTAAATATGGGTTTGTCCATATTTGACCAAAGTTGGGTTAAAACAACCCAGCGTTTTTAGTGCAGTTTTGCAAGTCATATAATTGGCCAGAATACATATCAGTCTGTTATATTACCATCATTATTGTATTTTGATAATTCTAATCTTTCAAGAATATTAAACCGTTTTTGGACAGGTCTCTAAAAAATTGTGTTTCAACCCAAATTTGGGTCAAATATGAACAAATCCAGCGTTTTAACCCAACATTTGGGTTTGTGCATATTTGACCCAAAATAACAACATGGATAAAATAACTACTTTCATCGAATGGATATGATTGTAGAATGTGAAAAGTTTAAAGATTTTTGGGTGGGATGTGCCAGAAAGTAAAGAAATAAGACTATATTCGGAATTAAATACTGGTGACTATTTACGCTAAAAAAATGCTGGGTTGTTTTAACCCAATTTTGGGTCAAATATGGACAATCTCGAACATTGGTTTAAAATGTAATTTAAAAATTTAACCCAATGGCTGAGTTTGACCATATTTGACCCAAAATTGGGTTAAAATCAACCCAGCATTTTTTAGAGTGTATTATGAAGTATTCTGCTATTGCGAACATAGCCTGAGATTTGAATGCTTCTAAAAGACAACAAGGGCTGCGTGACAGTTGATCTTATTAACAGTCATACTGTGATGATGGTTAGTGTTCATCTAATGATAGCTGGATGAGGAAGTCTAGTTTAACTCAAGCCATTATCGAAATCACAAAAATCTAGGCTTTATCTCCTTATTCTCGTACGGTTTCACACGGAGGCTGCCAAAGAATATACTGTTAAGTGGCTGAATATTAGCATATTATAAAGTGCTATGGGTGTAAATTGATATTATGTTTGGCTATAACGAACATTTAATCTTCATGTCGGTTGGTGTCATACTCATGGGTCAAAATTTGTGTTTGATGGTGTAAGTCGTATAACAAGGAATCCAGGGGAAAAACTATGGTGCTGTTTAAACTTTTAACCCTCTACAGCGTGGATGGATGATGCGTTTTGCAGGCCGAGAGAGAAAGTGCAAAAATATTGAAGACTCTTCTATTTTTACGATATCGCAGTTTCTGTCGGCCTGCATCTTGTATCATTGTGGATTTTGAAGAGGTTGACCCTTCTCTCTGAGAAGAACATTCAGGGTTTAGGCTGATCTCTTTATTTTGGTTTGTTCTAAAATGTGTTTGAGTGTGCGAAAGCTTTATTTATGCATGTTTTATTGGCATGGTAGGAACATTTTTGGATTGCTTACTAAAGCGATGATTTGTCTTTTTATACATTATTACAAGTATTACTCTTATAAATATTCAATTCACTTTTTATTCATTTTTAAGGACTGTATATCTGCGTTCTGTGTGTTTTTAATTGTTTTTCGTTTTTTAAATATATGTAAAGTGTGGTATTTTTTTGTGCTGTTCTACTTACAATAAAGGCAAACTGTCTGAACTGTTATAATACACATTCAACAGTGTTGCTTAATTTTATTGACACAAATGCACAATATATCACACACTACAAGCAGGCCTATTTGTGAAAAACTTCCTCGCTTTGGGCTGTTATAGACACAAATTTGCATCTAATTACTGAACGTGTCGAATTAATCCGTATGTATTAATCGGCTTCAAGGCCGCTCATCTTGTGGTCCATATCCGGATTCTGTTATCTGTATCATTCAAATGCATTTTCATGCTCTTCTCTAACATATATTCCTTGTGTTTTCTAGAATATGTATGACACCAGCGATGCAGTTATTATGCAATTAAAATTATTAATGTTATTTATGATTATCTGCTGATCATGCTTTTAAATAGTCTGGATTTTTTTTTGAGGTGTCATGATTGAAATATAAATATATACAGTGTATATATATATATATATATATACACACACACAGTATATATGTATGTATATATATATATATATATACATACATATATTTGGTTTAATAAACAGAATAAGAACAAAAAGATGCCATTTATGTCAATATGTAAAATTCATATTCATATGTAAAAGTCATTTTCTCACCCTCAAGTTTTTCTAAACCTTTCTGTTGAACACAAAAGATATTTCGAAGAATTTTAGCAACCAAATGGTCCTCAAAGCCTTGCATATGGAAGTCAATGGGGATCAGCAATATCTTCTTTTGCATTGAACAGAACAAAGAAACTCAATACTGGTTTAAAACAACATGAAGGTGAGTAAATGATGAGATTTTACATTTTTGAGGGATCTATCTCTTTACACCGCACCGATACATTAAAAACACATGAACTGTAAAATCGCTTGATGACAGCAACGCTTCCCCTTTAAATTTCCTGACCCACTTTTTGCAGGCGCGTTCACGAGGCAGACTGTGAGGAGAATGTCTAATGACATGCGCGTGCTCTGACTCTGCGCCCTCCAGATGTGCAACACAATCCATTCAAATGCCATTTAGCTCAATCAACGATCTAGACTGAAAGGGTATCAGTGTTTCTCTTCAAGTAAACGATCCAATCAGGTCTAATTTGATTGTCATCAGTGCTGTTGTCGACCATTAGCATCATGTTAAGATTGTGATGTGGGCTGACTGAAGTAGCTAGTTTAACTCTCTTCAGCTAATGTAATCTGTGAAAGCGCAGGTCAGCATGCTCATCTTCCCCCTACATTTTCCTTCAGACATCTCTGTTGCTCTTGTCTCTCTACCATGTCTTTTACTTTCATCTTTGAGTCCCAGTCTTCATCTCATTCATTTGTTTCTTTAACTCTCTCATATAAGCCTAATGTTAGTGTGCCTGTGCCAGAGGACAGGAGAAGACCGTACCGAAGCATCTGCTACCCAGCAATCAGAGATTCGCCATGCGAGGAAGATTAGAAAACCACACGAAGCGCATTCCTCTCTGCATTTCCCAGACCCATCATAAAGACAAAATATTCATTCATGCACTTGTGCATTTCCGAAAACCTTCTGTCAACAACAACAACAAAAAAATCATTCATGTTCAAAACATGCGTTACATTCATCATTAAAAATCAATCTATTTATAATGAATGCGCTTTTTTCTTTGGCATTACGCTGCAGTCAGCCATAAAGAGAGGCAAACACCACAGGGGAGAACACAGAAAATGACAGAAAGAAGAAGAGAGGAAACAAAAACTAATAGAAAACTGGATAATTTTAACATTTTATTGCTAAGAAATTAGGCTATACTTTCTTACCTCTTCTGGCCCATATATATCTGCGTCTCATATTGACGCTAAAGGGTGCCATACATTGTCAATAGCGTCAGTATATGACGCCTTGGAATGAGAACGGGTTGGTAATAATCAAAGTTTTAAATAAATACTTTTTAATGAATGAACCAATGACTCACTCATACAGTTGTCGCCATCTACTGGCGAACATATAACCCACAGAAAGAGTCAATAAATAAACAGGGGGTATTTCTCAAGACCAAGAATGCAAAGAACGGATTTGTGTTCTTGGGGAGAACGCTCTTGCTAACGTTAGTTGTTCTTGTAAACATAAATTCACAAGGTGACGAGCACACAGAACGCTGCTGACAGTTTGAGACGATGTGTTCTTGCTTGTATTGTGCAATATAACCCCGCACAGACGCCGTCGGCAGGACCCAAACATAACGATAATTATTGAGGATAACATGCAGCCTGGCCGCAATGGTCTCTTGACTGTGGGGAAAACGAGTCTGTGAGCAAACTCGCCGGCACACTAGCTAACGCAACACCCACAGGCGCTTATGGAGATTCTCTTCCAAAAACGTTTAAGCACATTTTCGATTAGCCATAAATTTTCGTAAAATGTCAGTATTTGAAATCTACACAGTTGATTTTTAGCATCAAATGTTCTCAGAAGTGAATTTAGTGATGACATAGTGAATGTAATTGTAGAAAAACGAATTACTCTAGACAGCAAACTGACATTGAATCAACGTGGAAACGACGTCTCTCATGACATTGAAACAACATTGATTTTGCTCATCGAATTAACGTTGAACCAACGTCAGACGCGGCATTCTTCAAAGCTAAATGAAAATCGAAAATTGGTTTGCTTTCATAACGTTGAAACAACGCGTTGATTTCAAGTTGATTTTCCGTTAGTTTTGAAAGAATGACGAGTCTGACGTTGGTTCAACGTTAATTCGATGAGCAAAACAATGTCAGATCAACGTTGTTTCGATGTCATATTTCCACGTTGATTCAATGTCAGTTTGCTATCTGGGGACCTGCCTCCTTCCTCGAATGCCGAATTGAATGCTGGGATATTTCTGCCGTCAAATTCACACAAGTTAGCAACCCATGTCAATAAAAAAATAAATAAAATAAAAATAAAAAAAAATTAAAAAAAATGGGCGTGTCAAGAATCCGGGACATCCGGGATAACCGTTTTAACCGTTCTTGCCAAAATGCAAACTTGTGTATTGGGACAGTACTTGGGCCACAAAAGATGATGTTTCACAAGAACACAAGGACACAAGTACAGACAAGAACACAGATTAAGAAGGGTTGAGGAGGACCCAAACTCATACTTCTTGTCTTGTTCTGCTAAAAAGATTCTTCCATTTGAGAAACTGGTGCATTCTGGGATAATCAAAAGAACATATATTCACCCACCATCTTATTTAAAGATACACAGAAAGCATTAAAACAAGAACAAGAATCACAGTGTTTCGGGATCTGATCTCGTTTACAATGAATTTACTGTAAAAAAAAAAAAAAACAAAAAAAAAAAAACGAATAACATGTCACTGTTAACCACAAAATCATGTTTTATTTTTATTTTTAAAATAAAATCTCGCAGTGGCCAGTAGATTTTGGAGCAGCGAAGGGCAGATTTTTGTTTTTATTAGTTAATGTTTGACTTGCCATGCATTGACCCAGATCTATGGGAGAAACACTGAAAGCTCTTCAGGAACGCATAACCACACTGGTGTCACGTGACCGCGACGGTCTGCGTGTGTATGGTGCGAGTGTACTGTAATTGGTTTATTTCACTCCAGTAAACACAGTCTGTCTCGAGAGACGTGTAAGCACTGGAATACCTCTAGTGTTATCAGAGCCACGGCTGCAGACTCCATTCACTTTACAGCCATTACAGCAGCCTCACTTCACTTACTACTGCTACTATTATTAGACGAACGCCATGCTCAAATTCTTCTGCTCCACTACTACCATTCCAGCTAAAAGGGAAAGTTCTCAGGCTAACGTTCAAAGCAAGGTTCTCTCAAAGTTAATAATGTTCTCAAAACGTTCATTCAGAAAAACTTTTTCTTTCTGGAACGTTTTAGTTGGACGTTCATAATATGTTTGAATGATACTAATTGTTTCAGAGTGTTCAGATAACCTTCAAAAGTAACATTGCCATAATGTTTGCCATTTTACTTGTCTATCAAATGCATCTTGACTATTTAGATGTTTGGACTGGAAACGAGACAAAAATACTTATGAACGAAAAGTATTTATTTATTTATTTTTTGCAGTGTGCCATTTCAAACCAAGCTGTATTTAAGTAAGCTGTATGCAAAAAAAAATAATATATATATATATATATATATATATATATATATAATAAAAATTGTGTGAAAATATTATTTAAGTGTGTTTTCAGGGCTCAGTAAGACAAAGGATTCTGACATTTTATTCCAAAAATATAATTTTCACCATAGAGCCCTATAAAATACAACACATGGTGGAAATAACTTTCAGAAAATAATGACTTTTCAGAAGAAATAAAAATCTCCCGTGATCATGTATGTCCACAGTTGTAAATTGTAAATTGATCAATTATGTGAAAGGAGTATTTTGTATGTATTTTATATTCTAAAAGTCCCGATGGTCAAAAGTGCACACTGTACATAAATGAAGACACTTCAAACTGAACCCATGGCCTTGGCAAAGTATCATCGGGACAATAACACGACTCTAAAGAGATCAACTTTGGGGGATATAAAATAGACATATTGTATTTAGCAATAACCAAGTCATCAATTAGCAAAGCCATACTGAACAGCTGCAATTCAACTCTGACATTTAGCTTGCATTTCCCCAATCAATTATTACAATTTAGGCAAATATTTAATATATTGAGACCTTCATAATATGAAAATATGTTCTCCGCCTCTCTTTCTAATTGGGCTGTCACATTACATATTTCCCATCTAGAGTGATACTGAGATGGAAAAGCATGAAATGGTTGTGGACGTGTGACGCTGAAATTTGACTGGGCAGAAATTCGTCACCCCTTTCAAACAGGACTGAGAGCTTGTTATCCTCACACTGAAATATAATTATCACAAATGAGTTTCTGAGATCTTCTAAACATCGCAGCATAACTGTTGAATCAGTGGTGTATCTCATTGCGCTTTAAATAATGTCAGAGAATTGCGTTTCTGATGTTGTAGGCCTATATTAAAATTGCTCTCGTATTCACACTAAACAGACGCCAATTTATCAAATAATCTTAATTATGTCACTAGTAAGTCCTGGAGACACAAATAGCACTGTTTCCTGACTGAGAAAAACACACGTTATTATATTTAATCTGATTGTGTAATGGGCAGAACTCCATGTGTGTATAATGACATCCACTGATCTGATTGGTTTAGGTGGTCAAGCTGTTCAGGGTCAGTGTACTCACAGATTCTACTGTAGAGATTAACAGCTCTTAAAAACACACACGTAAACAAGTGCCTTTGTGTGTGTGTGTGTGTGTGTGTGTGTGTGTGTGTGTGCGCGCGCGCCCGTAGAGGAAGAATACTATTCCAGACAAAGTCAAGACAGGGCATATTGCCATCTGTTTTGATTATTTCATGTCTGTGAGGAAAACTGTGACGCAAAAGAGATGATTTCCTTCATAAAAACAACAACAGAACAACATCTACTACAAAATGACCTTTGTATGACCTTTAAATTACCAAAAATAAATTCCCAAGTAATCCTTCATATCATTAATTGCTAAATCAGAACAGAAGTTTTTCTTTTCTTTCCAAAGGGAAGCTGTAGTCACTATGGCAACAGTGCAGTGTTGACATCATCTTCATTTTGTGTTATGAAGAGAACCTTTGACTCGTGTTATTTATTTTTAATCTGATATTATGATTGATATCATTAAATTAACTCCGAGCTCATCATTCAAATGTGAATGCATTATAATATCATGGCGAGAGAGAAAGATTTCCAATTAAATTAATAAATCTCATGTCAGCAGTGCTGTGGCTTGGATATTTTGTTTGTTACTGCTGAAAATAAAATCTGCTGTGTAGCATGTAAAGATATATGAAAAGATAAACTGAAACATCTAATAATTCTGTCCGTGTGTAATTTGCTTTGCAGCGTGTTGTTTAGGCCCTTATTCATGACTTTTCTGGGAAAGTTGCATTCATAAGAAAAATATATATTTGTTTTTGTTAACGTTGATGCCGAGAATGTTTTAAGAGGATTTAAATGAGCCTCCAATAAGCCTTTTCTTTCTCTCTCTTTTCTCTAAATTGCAGTAACGGCCCAGATTTTCTTTTTCAGACAGACAGTCAAACATAGATAATAATAATAATAGCAGCAACAACTATACAACAGTATCACACAAGCTAGCGTGCCAATCCTTTTATACAACAGCTCAATAAGTACAATTATATTAAAAAAAGTTTAATATGCGATTGATTACAATTGATCTTGCGGAAGAACATTGTAGCCGGAACTACTTTTCTCCCTCACCCTTCCCTCAGGTCATTTTGACCCGAGCTTTTTGTTTTGTTTTGTTTTTTTAATGTACTGTTCATTAGAGGGGTACTTTTGTCAGTTGGGGGCGTGTCAGTGAGAAACGTTCATTCAACGTCTGTTGACGGTAAATTTTAATTGAATTTCAATGTTTACTCATTGACATTGTAAGGCTTTTTCATTTATAAAGCAAGCTCTCTGCACAAAATATGATATCATTATAATATATTAAAAAAATATACCTAATGATAGAGTTTACATTGGCTTCATAAGCTAATAAAAAACATAAAAAGAAAAACACACCTGATGCGCATTCTTTGTTCTTCATCTTTTTTATTAGTAGAGTTAACAAACCTTGCTGTATTTTCATGTAATTCATTAAAAGAAGGTACACCGACATTTTGCTCCGACGAAACTGACTTGAACCAGAGCCCGTTTAACGGAGAGCCTTGACACTTCTATTAGCCCCGTTGTGTATTATCTTGGTTGCAGTTCCATTAGAATTCCACTGGAGGTGATCGCGGGCGAGCGCAGAATGAATGGGAGTCTATGGGGCTAAACGGCTAAATGTGTCTCTTTCACCTGCTTGTCGTTAAATCAACAAAGATTTTATTGTTGATTCCGCAAGTTCAATATAGATTATAGGCCAAAAGTCGAATGAACGAGTACTTATGTCCTTTTGATTTCTTACAGGTTAGGCTGTTGTTGGCTGGAACACGCTAGCATTCTGCTATTGTGTGACGTCATCGCATTTTTGAACGGATTTTTAGAACAGATAAGTGAACTTAAAAATGCAATTTCAGCTGAGTGTATTTTCTTAGCCCTCCCTTTTGAATGCAACTTTCAAATTACTTGACAAAAAATTACATCCTGAGAAACGTGGATTTTTTGAGGTGAAACCCCATTGACTCCCATTCATTCTGCACTCGACCGCGAGCGCCCCCGCATGGACAGAGACGCGTTACTGCAGCCAGTCCAGAACCCGGAAGTAACCAGACATTCTCTGCTTGAACGCACCTCAAGTCGTAAACACGACTTCCCATCTCGTACGTACGAACTTCCCAGGAGGACTTGAACGCAGCATCAGGCCTACTGACGAATCGATGGGGCTTAACTGCATTTTTATTGTTTATTGAATAATAATATCAACAACAATGCATTGCTTATTACTATTATTAACCTATTATTATATTAAATAATTAATTCTTCTAATCTAAGTTTATAATTAGTGTTAAAACGAGACCGTGAGAGAGACAAGAGACCGAAAACGAGAGACAACCGCATGTGCGGTTTTATGTTTCCTTTGAGCTGTTTGAATATTAACAGAATTATAAAGACAGTGAAATAGGCCTAAGTGAGTCCCTCCCTTTTCACTGAACTTCTGTTCTGTGAAACTCCTTCAGACTGAGTTGCCTCGTTCACCATGGCGGTGTTTTCGTCTCTTACTCCGGTGTTCGTGGCGGTTTTGTGTGTTATCATAGGGTTTCTCTTTAAAAACTCCCAGAGGAGAGAGAGCAGATCCAAGCAGAGGAGTTCAGGAGACACAGCCAGACCATGGGTGGATGAGGATCTGCAGGACGACACAGAAATCAGCAGGAAACACAGCGGTAGCCTACTCTACACACTATATTTCTGTAACAAATAAAGTAGTAAGTGACAGGAACTTGACTTTTTATTTTAGTTTAACACCTATTGGCGAGTCTACAAAAGCACAAATACTTAGGCTACAATAATCAAATATTATGTAAACATTTAAATAAATAAATCAGCATTACTATATGCATTATAGATTTTTACATTAGGATAGAGAATTATAATCATAATACATGCTAGGCCTATGTATGGGCTATAACATATTTTCTCATTATAATTCAAATCAATGTATTGATACTGTTATATTATGTCATATAATAATTTATCCATACCAGCTATCCCCCCAAACATGCAAAACCAATCATGTATTATATACATGTATATATTATATACAGACCATATTTTTAAAAGAAAGTAGACCCGTATTTAAACAATAAAGCAAATGATTACTGCAATGAGCAAAAAATTAATAACTGGCCCTCAGGAGGTTAAATAAGAATATGTTGAAAATCATCAGTGTCATGTTGAGCACTTGAAACTGTCTGGATGGTTAGAGTACAAGAGTGGACAGCAAACATAAACTCAACCCCAGAAGAGGGAAGGCGAGCGCAAAGATGCAGAACTTTTGAAGAGATCTCGTCGTTTGAGATCTCCAAACTTTATGGGGCAGAGCAATGCAATAAAGGTTCAAGTCCAAAAGAGTCTTGCTGAAATGTTGCAACATATGGAACACATATTCTGTACTAACAATGACTTTAGCCTCAATAAACTGCTAATTTCTGCTTATTAATAGATAAGGTGTTTGTTAAGTTTAGGTATTGGGTAGAATTAAGGGATGTAGAATATGAATACAGAATAAGGCATTAATATGTGCTTTATAAAAGCAGCTCATACCCTTGCTATATGCAAGTTAATAGTGAGAATTTGTCCCTAAACTAAAGTGTTACCCAATATATTATTTTTCATAATTGCATAAGTAATTATAGTAAGTAAGTAAAATTTATTTATATAGCACCTTTCACAGACAAGGAGTCACAAAGTGCTTTACAATCTGTTAAAAACAAAAACAATCTATATATATATATATTTTGCATATATGTCATTTCTGATGACCAATAGACTGGCATGATGTGAATTTGTGTTTCTTTTTATTGGCTAAATCCGTTGTCTGTGCACAGAGGATGATGATGATTGGCTAGACACAACAGAGGAAGAAGGCTTAGTCCATATCCCCTACACTCCTGCTCAGTACTCCTCTGCCGAGATGCTGGAGCGCTCAGAGAAGTTTTACTCACTCATGAATATGAGACGGTCTGTCCGCTTCATCAGTCCACAACCGGTTCCAAAAGAAGTGATTGACAATGTCATCCGCACTGCAGGTAATGCAGCCAATCGCCATGATGGAAACAAGTCAAAGCCAGCCCTTTCGTTTCATTCACTCTCTCTCTCTCTCTCTCTCTCTCTCTCTCTCTCTCTCTCTCTCTCTCTCTGTGTGTGTGTAAGGCACTGCCCCCAGTGGAGCTCACACTGAGCCCTGGACGTTTGTGGTGGTGTCTGATGCCGATGTGAAACACAAGATCAGAGAGATCGTCGAGGAAGAGGAGGAGATCAACTACAAGCAAAGGATGGGAGACAAGTGGGTCCATGACCTGAAGAGACTTCGGTGTGTTTCAAATAGACAAGAGGCTTCAAAAAAAATGTTTTTTCACATATAGTTTTATGCTTAGTGTTTATTAGTTTTGTTTTACTGTACTGTGTATTTATCATGCATTATAATTTAATATAACAATTACAGACACATAATAATAGTAATATGAGTTGATAAACACATTTAGCTATGATATTAGTGCCCCCTTGTGGTTTCTGTTTTCTATCTCTCTTTTTTTTTTACCATGGTTAACAATGTTTCAAACAGTTAAGAGGTCACATAAAAAATGAATTATGATTCTAAAACAATATACAGTAATTTATTAATATTATTTATAAGAAACAATAATATTTATAATATTATACAATTAAATACATGCAAACAAGAGTGGACAGCAAACATAATCTCGACCCAAACCTTCGAAGAGAGAAGTCGAGCATAAAGATGCAGAACTTTTGAAGAGATTAAAAAAAATATATATGTATAATATGATCCATTATAATATATTATTATTATAGTTGTAATCCTTTACACAGATTTTGTATAAGATATTTTAATTATAAGAATTATTATTAATGTGTTAATATTTTTTGTGTTGTAATACTGTGCACAGTATATAATAACAATATTTATTAGAAATAATAATGTTTATAATACTATGATAATGATATAATATAATAAAAATAATAAAATAATATTTA